TGAATACGATGCAAATAGAAATTGTGATTTATGTATATGAAAATGAGGATAGTTTGGAATGTTTCTAGAACAGAAGAGAAAACAATGTATGTTTTGAAACAAACTCAAACCTTACATTGAAATATATCGATTTCAAAGAAAACTTTTCAAGATATTTCATTCCTTAAGTAAATTAAGTTTTTTTGACTCTCTAAAAATAATATATTACCTATAAGAATTGAAATATATGAATGTGCAACATTTAATACGATTAAACGAAATTGTAAATAATAATATTTAGCCTATTTCAATCGAAAATGTTGCGAACATTATGATATTATTATTTACAATGAAAATGGTTTTGAAAAAGTTCCAACAAAACCCAATAAATAATCTGTATACGCTTCAGTTGTGACAAATTCTGCAATTTGGTCTTAATTATTATGGGATGTTATTACAAACTAATTTATTAAAACAAAAAAATTGTATTATAATTAATTTTTTTGCTTGTATATATTTATTAAAAATAAAATGTACTCAGATGAAATTTTCATTTAATTTCTAAAAGTTAATATAGATTATTGATACATTTTTTATTAATCTATACATTTTTACTTATTTTTTCCTATTTTTTTTTCATTTTTCTATGGAAGTTTCATCTGAGAACTGGAAACTTTGATAAAATTGTTTCGTAAACCAAAAAGGAGACAATTAAACTTATTAATTTTTAAAATAATATACTTCTTAATAAAATGTTAATATATGAAGATTTATCAAACAAATTTCGTTGCTATATGATAAATGTTTCTTCTGTATATGAAATATGGTTTTAAAAACTATGTCAAGATACAAGATTATTTATTCAAATTAATGAATCATTTATAGATATGAATATATTTTTTTATGTCTTATAATTTTATTCACAATCTATTCATCAATGTTCATATTGAGTAAATTTAAGTTTGCGGTTGACATTAGGTAGGTAATCCTTCCCGGTGGATAGTTATGTTAACTTCAGTAGTATATTAATGCTCTGCGATTCCACTATTTCCTTTGAATGTGAATCTGCTGCTATCCTTAACACTGTCATTGTCCATCGACTTGGCTGAAAGTCCATATGCTGAACCTCATTCATTTCACTGTTCAGCTGTGATGGACGATGGCCCTATTGCTGCAAGCACCGAGAGGGCTCACAATGAGTCTGGCTTGACCAGGATTCGAACCGGCGCCGGTCCGATCGTGGGTAGGGCGACTTAAACATTCGGCTATTAGTCGCCCTTATATGATTATATGAAGATTTTTATATCAATGATTTATTTCTTTATAAAATGATATATTCTTGGTTGATTCTTAATATTGTTTTTTTCTAAATGTGGCAGCTGAATTACCATACCTAGTTTTACCCTTTTTATTTTGGAACGTAATATATAATTTTAAATCTAGAAGTAAACGTAGCACGCTTTGGTTGTAACCAGACGAACATGACAACAAATAGAATATAATCGGACAGCCTGCAGTGCAGAGATGCTCGTTACATGACACACGTGTCACGCAATAAATATCCACGACACGCGATCTAATATCGATAACCGACAAACGGGGGTCGGCTTTCATGTTTCAGTTTCTCGATTTAAAAACATGGCGGTCTTCCAAAAATATTGACTTTTTTTATAATGGCCGAAGTTCTCAATCAGTTTCAGAATTGTCAATTAATATTGTGAAGCATTAATTAAAAAGTTTCACATAAAATATTTTGTATCCATTTCTCATTTTAAAAAGTAATGTTTTTTTTAATGGTTGAACTTTTCAATTGTAGATTAATATTATGATTACATCATAGAGATTTACTGTTTAATTCTAAAAAAATATTATCTAATTTGTGTCAGTTTTCTCACTTTTTAATTTTCCTTTACTCGCGCGGCGACTGTGAGACGTCAGTCTTTCTTAGGGAGCAAACCCTAATGCTGATGCTGAGATTTTACGAACATTAGTAATGGAATCAAAGACAAACAATCACAAACAAACGATACTAGTGATATGTTTAATTTTTTCCTCAATATAATCAATTATATATTTATATAAATTCATGACTAATGTTTTATTTAACTGATTTTTTCAGACGATGTTATGTAATCAGTTTTATTATGAAATGATAATGTTAATTATTGATTTATGTTTTTTTTTTTAGTTGAGAATAATTAATGATTTCTTTTTGGTGACGTAATTGGCATGCCCTTAGAACATTTGGATGCAAAATAGAAGCTTGACCTTTTTCTTTGGCTCCAACTGATTTGCCACCAATTTGCATACAAGTCATGAACGAAATCTGTATGCATGGAACGAACGTATTTACCAGCGATGAGAAAATAAATTTGACTGAAGAATTTCCATGTGGCAACAATAAACATTTCAATTTTATTGAATTTGGACACTAATTGTCGATTTGTTATATTTATTGTCAGTAAACATTATTATATGAAGTTAAATGTATACCTCATTTAGCGCTTAGAGTGTGGTAAACTAAATTAGATTAACATATAGAAAATCGGAAAATTTGAAGATTTTTAGAGTAGACCGCGTTACTTAAGTATTTAAGTACTAAATTCATTTATTTTACCAAATTCTATATACATCTACATCACATATATTCCAAAATTAGAAGGAAATTATAATAAAAACTTTTTAATAATGAGTATTTTATGAGTATTTTAATAACATGAAGTAACAATATATTTCACAAACTGCAAAAGAGTTTTATTTTGCATTTTGTGAAATATATTGTTGATACATTTACCAACTGTACTTTTTATGTATGTGTTTTAATAAGAACATGTTGATCTCAAATTCACTGAGATATAGTAAGCAGGTAAACAATTATTTCGCTGCGAATGAAACAAGCCTTGACTGTTGTTTTTTTTTTCGCATCATGATTTTGCTGTGTATGTGTTTGTGGATAATACTGATTTCAGATTTTATTGGATCCAGTTTAATAGTGAGATAATGCTGTTATCTAAATGAATTTATGCCGCCACTCGAGCATCGTATTCGATAAAGTTATTTACACACACAAAAAATAAATCTATTAATTATCTAATAATGTAGTGGCCCATATTTGTTCATTATCATCCACATAAACCTTATTAAAATTAATATGCAAACATAATCTTCAGATTGAAATTATATAGATTTACAGATTTTTTCTAAATATATAGATTTTTATACATTATTAAATTATTACATTTGTAGCTTAGATTTGTATTTATTAGTATATCATGATTAAACAATAGGATTCGTTCTACTAAATTACTTTGTTAAGCGAAACTTCGTTTTTCCATAAAGGAAATGAAAAGCTTTTTTTTAGTAATAAAGTTTATTTTATACAAAGTGAAATCACATTTTAAAATATAAATCTGAAGTTGATTGTTTCTACTTTTTTCAATGTATTTAACAATTACACTTTTTAAATTAATAAATTTTACTAAGTTTTCAATATAATTGAAGCATTTATAAATCTTAGATTCAATACATTTATAACATCTATTTCATCGATATTTTAGAAAATTGTTGATTAGTTCTAATTCCTTGGGTATTATATAATTCTTCTAATACAACTATTGGTCCTATTTTGAAGTATGATTGTCGTACATTGGCATTATATTGAAAATTGTGTAATTCGTTATATCGAAGCTTTATTAACAAGGGTAATGTTAACCAAGTTATGTCTATATCATATTTATTTTATTTAATTTGACTTCTTACTATTTTTTAGTGAATCTAATATATATTTTTGTTTAATCTTCAAAACTCTATGATTTTTATATAAATATTTACATTATATTGAATGCAAAATGGGGAAATAATAATAACAAGTCAAAAAGTTTCATTAACAATATTAAAGTTTACTTAAAAAGTTAAATAAGTAGAAACGCAACAGAAGATAAATATTACCTGGAAAGGCAATTTAACTTCGAGAAATGCAAATTATTAAAATAATCAGATTTTCTTTACATTTACGATTTGCATGAAATTTAAACCGAAGTATTTTTCTTATAAATATACATATATAATATACATATATATTTTCTATATATTATATATGTAACGATAAAAACGTATTTCAATATAAATAACGAAAAACACTCTCAAATGGTTGACGATGGTTGTCATCTGAATGGAAAGCAGCGATATTTACTTTTCATATTTCAAAGTGTCTTGAAATGAATGCAAACACCTACTTTTTTCCCGAGCATTATATGTTCCATCAGATCCAGGAATTGCGTCATCAAACACCTTGTCTCGCCGTGAACTGAAATTAATTGGAAAATAAAAAAATTGATCATTAAAATACGATGCTTACGAGGCAATTTGAAGCTTGTTAGCACGGACAATGTAACAGTAAAATTAATGATTAATTACAGAAACAATTATTTAATACGCAAGGTTCATTAAGCATAAATCAATTTACACAGCTTCATTACTTTACAATATGAATATTTTTTCATTATTAACTTAGCTTAAATTTGTTTAAAGATTCGTCTCTACAATGTAAAGTTAAACTCTTTTTAGAGGACAAATGATAACCAAATAGTAACCATACCAAGTAGACGAAAATTGCTAATTACTTTAATTATAATCAATCACAAATATGTGTGTTTGAAATATATTTAATTTTAGTCACTAAAATAACGAAGATTTTGATTAAAGTTATATCAAAGTCTGGATTGGAAGTGTACGGCAAAACCTATAATTGGATCGAAACAATGTTATTAAAAGTAGTGGTTTCGTAATTCCGTTTTTCTTATATGACATGGCGGAACCGAACGAGAGAGGAAAAAAAGCACAACTTTTTCTTCGCGTGGTTTCATGCCAACCCTCAAAGACCCATGGGAGGTTTCTATCCCTCCGTAGTTTTGGGAATTACTAAACTAAACGGAGGTTGCAGTCTAATTATACTAAAACAATTTTGTTCCCACATCAAATAAAGGTTTCGTTCATTTTATTTATTTATATATATTTTATTTTTCTTTTCCAGATCGTATGACCTTATAATGTTGGTAAGTTATATCTAAACCTATTGATTTTAACTGTTAATTCAGGCTTTTTCTGTTATTTGTTAGACCGGATTTAGTAATCTCATCATTAATTTATGTTATGTTTATAATTATTATTGCACACATCAATTGTATCAAAAATAATATTCATCGAATTATCTAATCTGTAATTTCCGATTTCTTTTATTCCAAAATGCTTTATCAATGGATCTTATTTTCTTTTATTTCGTCACACGAATTCCAAAATGCACGAGAAAATCAATAATAACGTGAAACATTGATTTTGAGACTAATCGGCTTTCGGTCGTTCAGCATCTACAAACGAGTGGGTACTCAAACTAGGAAAGGTTGTCAAGTGCCAAAAGATTTTCAAATCGATCAAACTTGAGCGATGAAACAATGCTCGTTGTCTGCAGCATTGTGTTATCTATTATTATGGAATTTCTCTATACGAGGCAGTAAAATTTCAGGGTCGCGTACGGAATTTATAGCATTTTAATGGTTCCTTGTTAAGTTTGGAAAGTAACAAAATAATTTTTTTCAAGAATGGTTGTTTTTTATTGCACTTTTAAGCAATAAATGTTAATGATAAATTGCTGTATAAATTAGACGTGTATATGAAAATCTTTTTCTAAAATAAAAAAAAGTTTTTTATTTTGTTATATGAAAATGTATAGCACTATAGCGGCCAGGTTACATCCCTGAGTTGTTTGTTACTTGAAGTTTTTTTTTTCGTAGCTCCGTTGGGAAATTGTTCATAGAAAATAATGTTTTTCCTAATAAAGTGCACGAAGGAAGCAACAAATCAAACAGTTTTTTGTTTGTTTTCCGAAACATTTATATGATTATTTTCTCATTTTAATTAATTGAAAGCGTTTTAATAACTCGTGCACATTTTGAAAATATCATTAATATATTCAGATAATGTAACCATTAGAAAAAGGGTTTTTTGTGTAAAATTTCATGTATAATAAATATGTATACGTAATTACGCAATAAAACTGCTCAACTGTTTACTTAAAAAAATAAAATAAATATATTTGAAACTAGTTATTATAATTCAATTAATAAAGTTCAGAATATTAGACTTCATAAATCTAAATAGCAACATTTGTCTAAATTTATTTGGAAATAATATTCCTATAAAGAAAATTATTGAAATGTATGAAGTTTCTTTATGTAATTTAATATTACTATTGAATTTATTTGAATGCAAAATATTTATTATTTAAAATAATTTAAACAATTATGAAAATTGAATGACATTTTTTGAGAGCGAGTTTAGAATACACAACTTTAAATGATTCAATTTTAATCAATTAAATCATTTATTCATATATTGTTTACACGAGCGTATTTTTCCTTTGTAATTTTTTATAGTTTAACTCTTGATAATTACTTTATTATGATTATAATGTTAATGTTTGGTATTAATAGGTATTTAAGTTAAGTTCAGTTGTACTTTCTGTGGGAAATTTGCCCAATTTTCATTTGAATGGAACTATTGTGTGTTAACTTTTGATTTAATTGGTAGTAATAATAGTTTATGTTTCAGAGTTTGTATACAAATAATTGAGATTATATTACTTCATCTAAAAATTATCTAAAATTGAAAAAGTTAAATTATATTTATTATCATTTCGATATAATTCGAAGCCTAAATTTTGTAGATATATATTTAACAATATACTAGATAAGTAATTAAGTTTAATTAGTAATTTTGTTTATGAAGAAGATAATGGAATATCTTTTATTATAAAATACATAAGTGACAAAGTCTGCTTTTAGACTTTATAATAGACCCATAATAATATCATAACATCACAGATAAGTGTATTTTACATAAAAGAGTGCAGCATTAAAGTCTTCAAAGAAACTAGCTGCGTTGGAGGAAAATAATAATCCGGGCGGTAGGCAAATTCCAACCGACGGTTAAGAGCAAACCGAACTAATACATAAATTGATTTAAACTGCAAAGTTATATTTAGATAATTGCGAACCGTAATTGAATTTGCATTCAATCGATGCACGAAGTTTTCGAAAGCTTGTAGGGTGGAGCATGCAATCGTGTATGGTATAGGGAAGATGTTGAGGGGCGAGGGTTTAGAGCAGAGAAAGTGGTTGACGGTTTGGCAAAGCGAACATTCGTGTCTAATGAGTTTAAGAGGTGACATTAGTCTTGTATGTTTGCGTACAAATTAATGAACAGAGGTTTCTCTTTGACGGTAGACACGCTCGCCGTTTACTTATCCTCCACCCCCTTTTTCTTCTTCTTAACTATGTGTTTTTCCCTCGAGGAAAGTCTCATCCTTCGCTTCCGAAACACGGAAGAAACTTTACCGAATAATTAAACGGGAAACTCTTAATTGGAACTATCTCATTTTTTTTTGTTGTATGATTATCCGTTCGTTGATGTTCGTCTTTCGTAGGTCCCACTTGACCAATAACTTTATGAGCTTAATTCAATTAAGAAAGCAACTACTTTATGGAACATTAAATTGCCCAATTACGGCCGTACCAATAAATTAACCGACGTTTTGTTTAGCTGCGATGAAAAAGCTCGCTTTTGCACACGAACGTGAAAATTTAATCGAATCGATGTTTTGCGTGCACTTGTTTACGAGTAATTTCGTTCATTGTAGAAACCAAAATTGAAACAATATTGGGATAATTAAATTTATTAAAAACTCACCTGTGTATTCATGCTTTTTTGTAGTTAGTATCGTTTTGTTCCATACAATGTTGTAATATCTTTGTTATACAACAGCTTTTTTAATAATCTTCATTATTTACTACATTGTAAAGTAAAAATTCCATTATTAACAAGATTTAGTTATGTTTTCAGAATGTATCCAATTCATATTCATAATAAATAATTGCATTTTTTCAATAATCATAAATTTTAGTTTTTTTATAAATCAAGTAAAAAAAAAACAATGAAAAGTAAAATTTACTTCATATTTCATTTTGTTTAGAAAGTTAATAAAAATTTTGAAAGGCAAATGAAATAATTTTTTCAAGTTAACATTTTTTACTCCTGGTAACATATAAGATCATAGTCAGTTTTTCGGATTATTGTTTTTTTTTTCTGTAATAAATTAAATTAATTAAATTTATTTATAAATAAAATCAGTTATGTTATGTAAAAATCCACAGTGTTATTATATTCTGACAATATTTCATCGTTGTAATTCAATAAAATATAAAAAAATAGTTTGCTGTTGAACATATAAAATATTTTGATACATTTATGAAATTTATATAATAACATCATTTTATAATACAAGGAAAACATAATCCGAATTTAAAACACATTACGCAACGTGCAAACACACACGTCAGTAATTCTTCGTTAAACAGTTCCGTTCGAGTGAGCAAACTGAAACGAGGTGCACAATTTCATATTTGCTTTTATTTTCTTCGTGTAAAATTCGTTATTTCGTGTTCATTTTTAGTTAATATTTCTGCTGCGATTTCTCCCCCTAAAAACAACGTGATGTTTGGATGTAATAATGGAAATAAAAAAAAAGTTGTGCATGTTTACAGGAAAATAAAGAGAATATAATGGTAAAATTGGAAAATAAATAGAGTTTTCGAGCGGAAAGCCCGACATGTTTTTCCTGCACTCGTAGGGGAAAATATGGCCAAGTCGAATATTGCTTTTCAAATTGCGATTATTTTGTTTCATGCGTGTGTTACCTTTTTTCCTATATCCGTGCTTCCTATACTTTCGAACAGCATGAGAACCCTCCTACTCGCATCTAAATTGAAGTAAATAGGATATACGCAGCATACTTTTTCCTAAATTTTATTTTCGGCACGATAAAAGCCAAGACACAAGGATTCGATATGTCAAATCAGGGCACACTTTCTTGGAGAACGAAATCGAATTTTCTGCGAATTTTACACATTTCCGCTTCCTATCAGAAGTTCATCAATCAAATCCAACATTTTCCTTCAGAAGAATATTAATCATATCTCGACTTATATCCTTTTATTAAGATTTAAAAAACAATTAACTAATCTATAAAAATCATTACTGTTCACAAAGAAATCAATATCTGGGTAAAAGCTCTAATTAATATTAGACATTATCGTCTTTACCCGATTTTCAACAGAAGAACCTCAAGTAATTACTCTAAGAAAATCGAATATCCAATTAATAATTTAGCAGTGATTCCATTAAGGTAAAGAAGTAAAGTACTGAGAAATGAAACAAAAGAATCTCGAATGTTAAGAACGATTGTTGAGATTCTTGGGAGAAAACTTTCGTGAAACCCGACAGATGGAGCGACGGTGTGCAAGACCAAGACGGCCGTCTTGGTTGTTTCCTCGTCGCGAAACTAGTTTCAGATAAAGAGAGATTCTAGACAATGGCGAAGAAAATTAATTTACTGCCGTACAACCAGTCAATCTGATTATTATGAAACGCAATTTGCAGACGCAAACACGACGGAAACGCACACAGCCGGAATAAGGATCTTTCATTATTGTGGATATGCTTCTGAAGAGGTTTGCGATGTAATGCAATTCCCTTATTGTATATAAATTGCAATCCACCAGGACATCGACTTTCAATTGTCAACTCTCAATCTCTGTAAAATAATTTACAGTGTAATTCATATTTCCTAGGAAATTATGTACAGATTGTCATAAAAGAAGTGTTACTTTTTACTTTTTATATATTGAAATAATAAATTCTCTAAATGTTCTGGAAATATATAATGGAAACTTATTTTCTCGATATTTTATATTTTTGGCTTAATATTTTTGTAAAATGTAATAGTGTTTCATTAAACAAATTAGTATATTTTTAATTTTATGTATCTCTTTTTAAATTATAATTATTAATATTTAACAATCCGAGCTTTTTATTCCAATATTGTCATTTTCAAATATTATTTTCACAGATCTTATTCCCCACAAATGTATTTTTTTTTGTCTATAAACATACTTTATCAAGGTAAACATTATTAAAATTATTTTAGGTAAAATCACTATTG